AACAGCAGAAATTGCATTAAAAACTATGAATATTGACATATCAAAATTAATCATTTCAAGTAAACTTCTAGAACAATCTCAAGGTAGTTGGGAAGGTATGAGTCGAGCGTTAGCTTTTACTCCCGAAGTAATACAACAATGGAATGAATTACATTTTGAATTTTGTCCTCCAAATGGTGAATCAAAACGAATGGTACAAAAACGTGCTTTAGCATATCTAGAACCGATTATTGAACAAGCAAAAAATCAAAGTCTAAATGAAAATCGTGAAATATCAATTGGTATTTTTACACATGCAAATTTAATACAATCTATATTACAATATTATTTACAAAGTAATCCAAAATATGCATGGCTTATTCAACAAAATAATACAGCAATTAATGAAATTCTATTCAATGAACATGGAATATCTGTTGTTAAAATAAATGATGATAGTCATTTGAGATTTTTAATTCCAGATATGCAAAATGAATCATTAGACAATTTATGATTATGAACAGACAAATAGTTAATATATTTTTCTTGTTTGATAATTTGAATTAATAAAAAACGTAATAAATATATCGGTATTTTTTTGTTTTAAATTGTAACTGTTGTCAAACAAATGTACGAGAGATTCCTTACTTGAAATCATTTCAATTAGAACGTGAGTATAGACAATTGTTTCACTGATACACATACATAATTATCTTACATCATAAATCAATACAAATAATTCTAACATTTTTTCACTTGTTTAGTGGTTTTTCAATTGTGTTAAAAGTCGTTATCCAACGCATCGCCATCGTTATACAAAATCATGTGCATAAAACAAATGAGGTAAACAACACTACAATTAAGTTATCTAGATATGAAAGCCAAGAAGAACCAAATTCTCCAAGACGAAAAAAGTAAAATCATAAAACTCGTATGATTTTTACTGGAATCTATTCAATTTATAAAATTCAATAAAAGAAAAGAGAGCTAGTATCAGAAACATCGATGTCCAATCTTGAACTTCTGCTTATTAAATAATTTGAAAAAAAATTGATTATATCAAAAAGTTAACCAACACGAATTTCATTTATGATTTCTTACAGACATTTAATAAGCACACGCGTCCTTTCCTAATTTAGCACATATCTCTCTGATGAGGGTGCTCGGAAATCGTCATTCCACATGAAAAATACATCCCTTACTGAATAAAGTCACGATTTCCGAATACCTTCACCAGAGAAATATGTACTAATGTGTATGTGGTAAAGCTTTTCATGACATTCTCACTATTAGGAAGGCACGGCTGTGTATATGTGTATTTATGCAAAATCTTGAAAAAGTCGAGTAAAATACATCAATTCAAGCGATTTTTTTCCTCATTAAGATTTTGCTTTCTCTATGATTTAAAGTCACTTTTATTTACACTTTTAAGCAAAAGATAAATGTTTTTTTTCCAGGTATCTATTTTCTGGGAATGACTTCAGGTTCAAATTGAAAAAATGTTTACTTGAAAACTGTGATGCAAAAATTTTCATTTCTTTTTGTATTAATATCAAGTTTTTCGCTCAATTTTATTTGAATGAATTGTATTTGCTTCTGAATATCAGCTGAAAATCTAAAAATCATGTGTTTGTTTAAGAATTTTAGCAAGCATGATTTAAGTCGTTGTGTTGTTTTAATATCTCATAATAGAACCTTTCTCACCATTGAGAAATTCATATTCCGTTAAATCAAATTATTTAGAACAAAAAAAAATGTTAAAAAGTAATTTCAATATGACAAATCACTCATCCACAATAAATCATTGTTCTCATCAAAATATTTTGATTAAAAAACAAAATCAAGGAAATACTAATAAATTATTAACATAGAATGGGTGGGGTGTGGGTGTAGAAAGAAAAAAATCCAACACCTCACACGCACACCCTCTGTTCATCGAGGAGAAAATTCTTAATTAAAAACTCGTTGAACTTCGACAATCTCAAACGATGAAAAACTTTCAAATACCGAAAAGATCGTCTCGAATTCAATACCATGTAAAGACATACAAATTTCATCGTACAGAGATTGAAGAAATACAATCTTTTCTATTCATATTCAAATCATCGACAACTTTCATCCAATGAATATCGAACGATTACAATGTGAGTATCATCCAATTAATTCGTTTTCATTGATCGATATTACAATTTCAAACTTTCGTTTCAATCAGAGAACTCAAATCAGAGAAAATCTTTTTTTTTTTCATCGACCATTTCTCGATCATCGATTCAATTCTCAACAAAAGTACAATCGACCGGAAATTGATAAGTGACTGACGAGCGAACGAATCTCCTTTTCACAGATATTGAAAAACATTTTTGTTTCTTTTTCTTTTCACAGAGAAAATAGTCCAAACCAATTTACTTTTCGATCGAGGCACAAACAAAAATTTCATTAATTCAACACCGAAAAATCATTTCTTCAACAAACAAAACTTAATTTTCAACAAAGATTGCATTTTTCAGAATATTTTTTTATTTAACGAACGAGAGATCACACATAGAGAACAAAGTTCTTCGCTTCTTTGACTTTTTCAAGGCTTTCTTTGCTCATCAAGGACAGATTGTACCCATTCACCCAGAATGTGTGTAACAATCGATGATGCCTTGGAGACAATCTGTTTTTGTTATTTTTGTTATTTTTGATCGCTTCATACAATATTCGAGTTCTTCGATCGTTCATTTCATTCTTGTCGAGAAACAGATGAGTCTTGAGCACTTGAGCAAGACGTTCGGAACTAGAGTCTGTTATTTCATTCTCTTGAAGGCTAGGAGATTTGACACTCGATTGCCTCGAAAATACAATCACTTCAGCGTCGTATTGTTGTTGTTGTTCAATGTCTCGGGCAAGACCGATGCACCGACTGATACCATTTCGTTGTTTTATGACCAGAGCACAGTGCACTGTTTGTTGTTGATAGCCAATTGTGAGCAAATGTCGATGTCTCGATCTTTTTAAAATCTGTTCGAAAATGTTTTATGTTGTTTGACGAAGAATCTCAAATCAAATATTTTTATTTCGAATTGTTTTGATCGATAAATTTTGATTTTGAAGAAAAGACTATGATTCGATCGAGAAAAACCTTTTTTGTTTTGGTTTTAGGAAATCCCTTTTGGAAAGTTCGAGTTGTTACTGAAATGGTTCTCGCGTAAAATAAATCGAATTTCTTCATTGACTCTTTTGTATTTAATATCGTTTGAAACAAGAATTATTTGCAATTCTAGAACTCATTTAGAAAAACTTCATTCGTATCAAAAATGATTTTCTTGTTGGTAGTTTTTGATATTTGTTTCTAAGTTAACGAATTCTCCTAAGATGATTTAGTGTTTCACGAAGACATTTTCCACGACATCATGATGAGAGAGAAGACTCATTAACCTAAGTGATGATAGTTAACTCGCTCCTGATGTATTCAACTGACGGTAATTTTGTTCTCGAATATTCTTCTTCTCTTTGTCTCTTGTACGAATCAGTGAAAATGAGAATAATAAAACTACGTTTTCTGTGAACCTGTTGCATATAACGGCTTTGATTTAGTACTATTACAAGAACTTGCCACATCCACTATCAACAAGCTACTAGCAATGGAAAGGTTCACACTTTTGTACATAGCAGTCTCTTTGGTGGGTCTCTGATAATGATCGATCCGCATCATATCTCGTTCGTTTGTTCTTCATAAGCAAATTTACTTTTTCTAACTCTAACCAAACATCGTAAAACCGTCTGATTTTAGAAGCTGTTTACGTTTCTTGTAGAGATGTAACTTGTTTTTGCGTTCAACTCATAGCAGCAGTAAGTGAAATATTCTCTAGGTTAATGTCAGGTTGCTCCCATCAATACGACTACGATGTATTCACGGTCGTCAGCGGGTTTATTTCAACAGCATCAGACGTCTATTGTTTGTATAACACGGACGGCGGAAGAGGAAAAAGACAGTAAGCTTATATTTAAATGATGCTCCACACAATGTACATCTACATATTATCAATCGGCGCTATGACTGACGAACGTTATGTGCATTTCAAATTATCCGATCAATCGGTGCACACAATTCTTGGTGCTACTCTTAAGCCTTATCCAGATTCCTATCTCACTCAACTTGTCTTCAATGACGCCTTCAAATCGGCCAAAGATGAGCAAGGCTATTTTTGGGTCGACGAAGAATCACAAATATTTGCTGCCATACTTACGTTTTATCGGCATGGTCATCTCATCTTACCCGATATCTTTACTGACATCCGTGATTCAATCATTAACAAGTATCTTCTGCCCATCGAAACATCGTGCATTCCTCGTTCTCAGTCGATAACAACGGCGCCTACTACATATGTTCGGCTTCGTGGAGAAGCATCAAATTTTTCCTCTCCAAATTCGACCAAGCTAAACACATACCAATGCACTGCTGTGGATCCATTTTGGACTGATTTGCCTGAATCAGAAGACAGTGACTTTGAAGTTAGTGCAGCAGACTACAAAGGCATTCAATATGTGCTTAAGAGCTTTTTAACTGTGATGAATTGGTTGATATTACATGGCTATGAAATTGAACATTGGGACGAGAAGAAACAAGAAGCTAACTTGAAGAAAGTTCATACGAGAATAACGAGTTGAGTGTTTTTTTTTGTTTCGTATTGTATTGTAAATAAACAAGATTGAATAGTCATGTAATCTGCAAATGATTGTCTGTGTAATTGTGAACAGTTTTGCAAAAGGATTGGTACTAGAACTTTTGAAGAATAGATATTGAGAAAGATTGGCTAATGACAATGTGAGCATGTGGAATGTGGGAAATGGAAAAAAAAAGAACAGACGATTTCAAGAATAATCTCTTCAACT